ACAAAACAAAAGTATTTAAGTGTGGAGGATGTTTGAAGATTATAATTATTGAAACACTTTAACCAACTCTGTAACTCGTTACCCAAGGCAAAAAAGTTAAACGCAAACAAATTTATTGATAAATGTATTGTTTCTACTTTGAAAAATACTAATGGGCCTTAAAATTAAAGTAAAATGAGAATAATTTATTCGCAGTCGAAAAAAAATTGTTTCCGCGTGTTGTTTAGGGTCAAATATTTCAAGTTAATGTATTCAAAAAGCAGGAATTGCTATTTTAGGAACGACACAACATTTTCTTATTCAACAACATGGCAGCTTTCACTTTGTTGTTTTGGAGATTAAGATGGGAGTAGTTCGAGTAGTCGCATGCCTGGACTAATAAAGTCGCAGTTCAGCCTTAACAAGGAGTATATTATTCGCAAGATTGCCTAATTTAGTCATCCTAGAGTCTAGCTTGTACCGCCCTCTATATTCTAAATAAACGAGGGAGTGGATAAAATATCGGTAATATGTCGATGTATATTTAAATTTAGTTTTATATGTGCCTTCCTTACGTCCCATTTTAATTAAGTTTTTTTTATAAAAACAAAACAACACTGAACTGTCTGACTGAACAGAATAATGAAGTGAAAACTTAAGATTTAAGGTTATGGTTCAATACAGTTGCAAAAAGGTAGTGGCTCGACGTCCTACCAACGTAAGAATAAGGAAATCTAAACAACGTTGGAATTAGTAAAACAGACGACGTTTGTATAACGTTGGAATAGGTCCTGAAAGTGATGTCGGAAAACTCTTTATTGTCCAACATTGTAACTACGTTGTCCGAATCACCTAAAGATCACTTAAGCAAAAAAGGTTACAAGACAACGTTTATTCGACGTCGCAGAAGCTTTTACTTTGTTGTAGTACTAGTTCAACGTCGGCACAACGTTACAACAACGTTTACATTTATTTTAATACCCAAGGTACGGAGCTAACTATTTTTTGTAACTAATCCAACGTTGTGTTTAGTAAACATGTGGTCCCAAGTCGTGAAAATGCTATTTGGGCATAATTAGTAATTAATTGATTTATTTGATTTATAGCTTAATTTACTAACTATATATTGGCAAAAACTAATAGTCCATTATGAAGATTATTCGAAGAGTTATTATGGGTTATTTATTTATTTATTGATGTACAGGGTGGTTGAAATTGGTCTCTTTTAACAGAGAAAATCTATTTCCTGACTAGATAGAGCAAAACCGACATATATATCATGGACTCGATTTCTGAGACACGTTTAATGGCGTAAACCGCCTGTTGATATTTTCACTGCCAACTGAGATACGGGGTCTTTTTGAATTTTTGACCATTTGGAAAATTGCCCATAACTTTTGTATTTCGCGGAATAATAAAATTCTGTAATAACGTTCTTAAAGTACTTTTTTAAGCACAATCCAGTGGCGTAGTCAGTTTTTCTCTATACGTGCTCTTTTTGTCAGAAATAATAAAAAATATGATTTTTTAAATGGAAATCATAGTTGGCTATGAACATAAAAAAAAAAAATGCTGGCGTTTAACCCTTTCCAACGATATAAAGTTACGTATGTGTATTTATTTCTAAGAATGAGGGAAATATTAGATTTTTTATCTTTTTATCCAAGCGGGCCTTGATTTTGTGTTGACCTAGTTGCCTAATTAGTTTCATCACAATTTAATATTCTATATTATTATTTATCTGCATAATTAAAAACTTTTGAAGGGTTACAAGTGAACAATTAAATGGAGAATTTGAAGAGAATTGGGTTGGAACAAGGGGCCCATATCTTGGCCTGCTAGGTCTTGTGATTTAACTCCTTCCGACATTTTTATGGGGGAAATTAAAAGACCTTATATATAAGAGAAGTACCATTGGGACGAGAGAAGAATTGCAGAAAGCTACCAGGCAAGTTTTTGGACTTATTAACCAGTTCGCCTAATAAATCGTTGTAATTCTATGCGCAAAAGATGTTTATTGGGTATTCAATAAGGAGGTGCTCTATTTGAACATTTTTAATTTTTTACAAAACTATATTCGTCACTCAAAAAATACGTTTTTTTAGTTTTGTTCTTTGTTTATTGTATCGATTTCAGTTGTAATTACTAATGCTAATAATTACTATTACTAATAATAATAGAATGTTAATTTACCTTTTCAAAAGACTTTAATTATCCAGATACTTTATTAAATAATATTAAGCATAGAAAAAAACTGACTAGGCCACTGGATTGTGCTTAAAAAAGTTTTTACAGAATTTTATTATTCCGCAAAATAAAAAAGGTGTGGCCAATTTTCAAAATGGTAAAAAATTCAAAAAGACCCCGTATCTCAGTTGGCAGTGAAAATATCAACAGGCGGTTTACACCATTAAACTTATCTCAGAAATCGAGCCCATGACATCTATGTAGGTTTTGCTCTATCTAGTCAGGAAATAGGTTTTCTCTGTTAAAACAGGCTAATTTCGACCACCCTGTACATATTACAACCCTACAAGTGGTAATAATAAGTAAGTGGGTGTTATTAATACACAAACTAATTATCACAGAATTTAATAAAAACTAACGTAGAAATAATGAAAGTGGTGTAATGTACTTATCAATCAAACTTGCTTCTCTGACTGCAGTCAAGGGTAATAAAGGGTCTCTATTGCCACGTTCTCGTTCAAAAGAGTTTATCAGGGAAGCTGCAAGCTCTTTGCTTCGATTGTTTAAATGCTTCGGCGTATTTTCAATACACAATTTCAAGAAATGCAATACAAAAACTCGAAAATTTAGTTTTTAAAAGAACTGTTTGTGCTAAAAAGTACAATTTTTATAAATACTATGAAAATATGCAAAAAAAACGAGAATTACTCACAAAGATTCAACAACAACACAATATTATATAAAATAATGTCTGACATTAGGATAATTATTGTCAAATAATAAACGACAACCTTGCTGAAAGGGGCGCAATGTGACAAATATAATTCGATAATAAAATTCGGTTTAAACTAATTTTTGCAGCTTTAATCTAAATAACATATCTGTTACAATCATTTGCTCTATAAAGTAAAATGAAGAGCTGCTCTCCAATTACACTTTATACTGTTTAGTTAACGATCATTCACAATGTCTTAAAAATACAATTAGAGAGAGTTAAAAAAGTGAAAAAGTTAAAAAACTTTTAACTTTTCCACTAATTATACTTCAAAATTTGCGAGGAATGTCATTTTGGCCTTTGATTATTACTCGTGAAGAGAAATTGTGGTTAGAAATCAAAAGTTTATTGTTTTATAACCTGAATATTAGGCTTTCTCTATGGATACAACTGACTACTGCAAGCTGTTGCTAGGATATTCTATTAATTTTAATTTTAATTCTATTAATTTTAATTGTGATAAAGAAATGTGTTTCTCACTAAGTCCCATAACGGGAATATTCTCAGCAGAGCTTTTTGCAATATTTAAGGCTATTCAACATATATATTGACCTCCAGCTATAAGAGATGGGTCGTGGCTACCGATTCATTGAGTTCCATTTCAAGTATCTCCTCTTTCTACTCCAACCATCCACTAGTTATAGCAATTAAAATGCTTCTACAGAAGGCCAATATCAACCACTGCAGCGTCACTTTCCTTTGGCTTCCGAGCCACATAGGAATTCCTGGCAATGACAGAGCTGACTACTTGGCTGCAAAAACTCCCAACCCTCATAAAACCAACCTTGTTTTCTCCGTGCAAGATCTAAAGAATTATGGCAAACATATGATCGATAATATAATCCAACTAGAATGGGACTTAGACATGAATGATAATAAGCTTCATGAAATCAAAAGGGACTATTTTGAAAATAATGTAATTAACTTACCTAGAAGAGATTTCGTTGTGCTCACTAGAATTCGTTTAGGACACACGAAACTTACCCATGAACACCTCCTTAAAGGACAGAATCAGCCCATTTGTGAAACATGTAATCTTCCAATATCTGTCAAACACATTATCTTTGAATGCCCAAAGAACGCGTTAAAACGAAGACAACACGGTATCGTGGATAACCCTGAGGTAGCCCTTTCCTACCAAAATAATAAAGCTATGTTGGATTATATAAAAGATATCCACATATATAAAAATATATAAATAATGGGATAAAGTGACGCTAAAAGACTCTACAGTCGATGCGTCTTTAACACATATAACTTAACTTTTTCACACATATAACTTAACTTCTTTTTAATAATTTTAACTTTTTCCACTAATTGAAGATTACTACCACTAATTTTGACGTTGTGAATGCTTGTATTGATATTAGGGGAACGAACTTCTACTTTAATACTGAATGAAGCTTTAAGCTTCATTCAGTGAAATAAATTCCAGTTTTCCAGGACAAACACCACAGCCTCCAAAATATACATGGAAACAACTGTAAGAACGTTATGTTCAACAAAGTTTGTTCACCTAATTTTAGTGTAAGCATTAGTCAATTAGTGGAAATAGTTAACAAACTTTCGACTTTTCCACTAATTATACTTCAAATTTGCGAGGAATGTCATTTTGGCCGTTGATTATCACCCGTCAAGAAAAATTTTGGTTAGAAATCAAAAGTTTATTGTTTTATAAGCTAAATATTAGGCTTTCTCTATGGATACAACTGACTAACGCAAGCTGTTGCTAGGATGTTTTATTAATTTTAATTGTGTTTTTTAGACATTGTGAATGATCGTAAACTAAAAATTATAAAGTGTAATTGAACCCACTAATTTATTCCACTAATTGGGAGGTTCTGAATGAAGCTTTAATCTAAATAACATATCTGTTATAATCATTTGCTCTATAAAGTAAAATGAAGAGCTGCTCGGTATCTTAAATTAATTATACAACAAATTTAAACATTTTTGCAAAAATTTCATTTAGTCAGGTTTATAGACTTTAGTGTCAATGTCGATATGATTGATGACGTGCATCGGAAAATGTTTTGCGATTACAAATTACAATACTTACCAATTCCATATCTGCTTTCCACACTTTAGATTTCTTCAAGATATTGTCTGACGGTTTCTGTAGCGTCATAATTGCCGGGAACTTAAAAAGAGAAACGAATCGCTTAAAGAACAACGTCCTCTCGGCTAAAACTTCGTTTTTATCAGCTTCCTCCAAATTGGAAAGATAAGTATTAATGCACCACTGCACTTGACTTTGAGTTTTTGAGCCCCTAAAAAATGAATCACGCTGTACTTTCGGGTCGCTCTCAGGGATGGGGTAAAGCGGGTGTGTGGCCGAAGGAAATATATATCATATTTCAGAATTTTGCTTAGAATCAGGCTTAGCCCGATCCTGTCGTGTTAAGTCACATCCAAAATTCCAAACACACGTGCTTTGATTAAGGCTTGATTAAGCTGTGCAGAGCTTCAGCATTTGCCATAAAATAGGGAGCAGTTTGTTACAACACCATACATGGTGGGCCACTGAAAACTTACAATGGCGATAATTTTTAAACCAAAAAAGATATCAAAAAAATAAAAAATACCGTTTCTATAATATCGAGGAGGAATACATACGACGTATTTTTTGAACAACCCCTTAGGAGGCATCCCTACTCACTTGAAAATCTTAAATGGCAACACCCCACTTGTGGCGCCTTTTTGGAAAGCCCATGAAAATGCTAAACGATGGTCATAAAGTTTTTAGGGTGAAATTGAAAAACTACCCTTTACACGAAAAATTAGGTGGATATTAATGAAAAAAGTGATTTTTTCAGCATAAGTTACAACAATGGGGACCCAGCTAATTGAGGCAAATGAGGTATTTTTCAAACCACCTCGACCCACCCCTAGGTGCAACCCCCTCACTTCTAATCTCATCAATGCCATTTTGAAACCATTGCCATTTTGAAGCTAAAAATAAAAAATGTAGATAATAAAAAAGGCAACACAAAGATGTTTTACTAATCGTTCAGCCTAATTTTGGGATAACGCAAATTCTACCTTATCATCTATTTTTTACTTTCAACAAACAGGAATCTTAAAACGGCATATCTTTGTGTTTTTGCACTGTTTTCTATCGATTTTCAATGGTATGCAAATTTAGTGGTATTTTCATTACATTTATTTGATTCGCTTGTTTGAAAGAAAAATGGTTTATACTGTGGAAGAAAGAATTCAAATAGTTTTTCTTTATGGTGCTGAAGGTATGTGCTATTTGAGAACGGCCTGTGCTTTCAATGGGAGAAATCCGTACAAAAACGTAAGTCACGTTTATGTTAGAGATTTGATTATAAAGTGTCAAGAAACTGGATAGGTCAAAAATAAAAGAAGGACAGGGCCCAGGGTACTGAATGAAGAAATGCAGATAGAAGTTATTGGTCAGGTATCGGTCAATCCAGAAGCATCAACATACCAGTTGGCATCAATCACAGGTATACTTCGAACATCTGTCAGAAGAGCATTGAAAATGCACAAATATCATCCCTACAAAATGAAGATTCTGCAGGAACTTGGCGACGACGATCCAGATAGAAAGATTCAGTTCTGTGAACTAATAACGGAGGAAATTCGAAGGGAACCTTCGCTCACTAAAATATGTTTTAGTGATGAGTGCTCTTTTTTTCTAAACGGAAATGTGAATAAGCAGAACTGCAGATACTGGAGCGATGAGAATCCACATATCGTTGTTGAAGGACACATCTAACATCCCCAAAACCTCAATGTTTGGTGCGGAATACTAGGCGATAAAATTATAGGTCCATTTTTCATCGACGGAAATTAGATTGGTTGTCAGTTAAATTGGTGATGCTTATGTGGAAATGCTGAACAATTTATAGCCCCTCCGCATTATTCTATTGTCACAAGGCGGTGGTTGGATAGATATAGATATTATCAAAGGCAATGGATTGGCCGAAGGTGTCCAATCGAGTGGCCGCCAAGGTCACCTGATCTGACTCCTTTAGACTTTTTCTTGTGGGGTTACACTAAATCCATAGTCTACAAGACAATACCAGGTTCGTTGCAAGAATTGCGGCAGAGGATAACTGAAGCATGTCGAAATATTCCAAGCGAGACTTTCCAAAAAGTGAGAGAAGAATTTGAAAATCGTCATTCTGAGCAATTGTTGAAATAAATTATCATTTTAAATTTCTTTCAAATTGTCACACCTACATTTCTTATCACTACTTACCAGTAATGAAGTTGAAGTCCATCGTTAGTAATTTCAATTAGCTTTCCAAAGAAGTGTCACAAGTGGGGTATCGCTATCTTGAGATTAGAAGTGAGGGGGTGGTGGGAACCCTAGAGGTGAAGTGAACCCTAGAGGTGGGTCGGGGTGGTTTGAAAAATACCTCATTTGCCTCATTTAGCTGGGTCCCAATTTGTAACTTATGCTGAAAAAATCACTTTTTTCGTTAATGTCCACCTAATTTTTCGTGTAAGGGGTAGTTTTTCAATTTCACCCTAAAAACTTTATGACCATCGTTTAGCATTTTCATGGGCTTTCCAAAAAGGCGCCACAAGTGGGGTGTTGCCATTTAAGATTTTCAAGTGAGTAGGAGTGCCGCCTAAGGGGTAGGTCGGTGTAGTTCAAAAAATACGTCATATGTATTCCCCCTCGATATTATAGAAACGGTATTTTTTATTTTTTTGATATCTTTTTTGGTTTAAAAATTATAGCCATTGTAAATTTTCAGTGGCCCACCCTGTATAAATTTATCATTGTAATCACAAAACTTCAATCTATTTCCGTATTGTAACGGAATTTTAAATAATGCCTTTATTTTCGAGAACATTTAGTCCAACATAAGGAATATTTTGTTGATGTTTGAGCATCAAAATCTTAAAAATAAAGAAGTTGTCTAAAAATGTACTACAATACGGATATAGTATAATCACGGCACATAAAACAATCGGCGCGACAACTCTGCTCAGATTCCATAATTCTTAATTAATCAAATTTCTATAAAATTTGACCTTGACGGCGCCATTAGCGTTTCCAAGTCAGCGCCGGATTAAAACGTATCAAAATTTCCCAGAAAATAATCTATTGATAGACAGGGTCGTATTAAAGAACTGTAATTGGCTGAAACTGAATTTTATTTACACAATAAAACAAATGAATCGTTAATACGCATACTCCTCGAAAGTAAAAATGAAAAAATCAATTAAATATTTCACTGTAGAGAATAGACAATTATTAAAATTAAAAACATACCAGGAGTTACAAACAAAAGAATTAAAAGAAATACCCAATAAAATATCTATTGAACAATATAAACAGGATTAACCATTACAAATTATGCCCACATCCAATGGGCGTAGCAAATTACAATTAATTCAAATTTCACAAATTAACAAATCGGTTAAAGGAAGAAGATTCACTGATGAATTTAAATATAAGTAATCTGTGATGTACTTTTTTGGACCAAAATTGTACAAGACAGGACGCTCTTGACAAATCTATTTTGCTTTCACACCATGAAAATGAATATATGCCATCGATATCAAACCTGGCTTAGAAAATCTTAGTGTATTTGAGACTAAAAAGAAAATTTGAAAGTTTCGACAAACCGGATGAACTTAATCGATATGTATTGATGATATGAATATCAGGTGCAATTTATTTTTTATAATAGTGAGTACTGATACTATTTTAGAAGTTATAGGCAATTGCGTGGCACATCGGAGAATACACCGGCAATTTTTTAACAATATGTTTTAGCAAATATGTTAAAATAATTAATCATATATATACATATCTAATAGGATCTCTAGAAAACAGAAAGAAACTTTTATTGTTCTACTCGGGCAGTTTTTTACTGCTTCGCCAGGCATTGCAAAAACACGTAAAAAAATAATAAAAAAAAAAAAAAAAAAAAAAAAAAAAAAAAAAAAAAAAAAAACAAAATAAAACTACTAAAATAAATTATATTGCACAAAGAGCGAAAATAAAACTAGAAAACCAAATATATATTACAATAAACAAAAAAAAGCTATAAAATGATAACTCGAAGAATAAACAAAATAAATTAATCCGTACGCTACTGACTCGAATCTGCCGTAATTGTGTGTAGTCTTAGTGTGTAGTCGATGAAAAAAACTACGACACTGGTTACTTTCTGTTGATGGAAACTGAAATGGCGGCGTGCGCAAGGATATGCGTGTAGCGTTCCCGCTAAAGAGAGTTAGCCTACCGATTGATTTATATGCCGTGGTGTAATCCTTTATCTTTAATTCCTTCTTCATTTGTAAAAATACCTAGCCAGTTCAACATAAAACGTTAAATGCCAAACCTTTATTTTACTTTCGGACTGGTGAAATGGTTCGAAGTTTCCGAAGACAGCGACAGCCACAAGCGACCGCGACAGACGACAGCGACACCTATCGCTTTGCGACCCCACCGATCTTTTAGAATAAAGGAATTACGTCGGGTCGACGACAGGTGTCATACCCGACGGTTTTATCAACATGTCGTCTAAACGATGCGACGACGCTACCGGTATTTGTCCAGTACTGTCATGTCGTCATTCATATGCACACGCAGATTTTTGTCAAAAATGGATTTTACCGGGGAGGAAGAAGGCAAATTTAATTTGGTATGTAAATGATAAAAGTCGCCTCATCGCTGAATAAATGTTTTTTATGAGTAAGGAATAACTTCCTTCGCTAGGTCTGGTTTTAAACAGAGGTAAAATGAGTTTTCTTCTGTACCGCACCAAGTAACTATAATATTTCGTCCTCTTCATCATCTTCCATCAGTAATTCAAGTAACACATTTTTATCAATCACGTAATCAGACATATTTATTAATTATTATAACTACTTCGCGAACGTCATTTAAACACTGACAACTACATCGTAGATCTCGCTCATATTGTCGCCGACATCGACAATGATATGACGACAGCGATAAGCGACACTGTCGCCTGTCATTGCCGTCTGTCGCGGTCACTTGTCGCCGTCTTCGGAATCATACCTTTAATCTTATTTAACAAGACATTTAATAATTGTGTCTTATCTTCAGTTATTTAATTGTGTTCAGATTATTATTCAAACTGGCCAAATTACCGTCGGCAGTACAGATAATTGACGAATTTGTGCTGGGTGAATGCTCGGCTCTGGTATACAGAATTGGCGCACACTGTTCGCCACAAAATATTTACTATGGGTATGTATTGGGAAGGCAATGTGCATAATTTAAAATTATTTGAAATGTACAGTGTATGTC